TTTTTTTTCCCCGTCCCATGTGGAGGGTTAACTGCTTGAGATCCTGGTTTCTTTCTTATCAGTTGAGTTTAATTTTGCTTTTAGAGTATTAATTGTTCCATAATTATAATCTTAGAATTATAATCATCGTTGCAATGATAGCTAAGTTGGTGGTGCATGTGGTTTTAGACAATGATTCCAATTCTGCCGAGCTGTTTGATGCTCAGAAACATGGCAGTTAAAGTACAATAACCACAGGGAAGCTGTAGCTATGCCTTTCAAGGTTTAATATCAAGTGGAGAAAAAGTAGACTGCTTTAATCGCTGTCACTTTGTCTATTTCCCCGAGAAGCACTTTGTAGTTGAAACATGCTGCACAAATTTTAATCTATAGTTAGTGTTTTAACTTTAAAAGTCAATTGGCAAAGGCTGGGGAGGCAGAAGTAGTGTTAAAGGACCACTATAGTGCCAGGAAAACATACTTGTTTTCCTGTCACTATAGTGCCCTGAGGGTGCCCCCACCCTCAGGGTCCCCCTCCCGCCGGGCTCTAGGGGGTGGAAGGGGGTTAAACTTACCTCTTTCTCCAGCGCCGGGCGGGGAGCTCCCCTCCTTCTCTCCTCCCTCTACTTCTGTCACCGGCTGAATGCGCATGCGCGGCAAGAGCCACGCGTGCATTCAGCCAGTCCATAGGAAAGCATTATCAATGCTTTCCTATGGACGCTGGCGTCTTCTCACTGTGAAAATCACAGTGAGAAGAGCAGAAGCCCTCTAGCGGCTGCCAATGAGACAGCCACTAGAGGCTGGAATAACCCATAGGTAAACATAGCAGTTTCTCTGAAACTACTATGTTTACAGAAAAAAAGGGTTTATCGTAGCTGGACCTGGCACCAGATCACTTCATTAAGCTGAAGTGGTCTGGGTGCCTATAGTGGTCCTTTAAGAAAAAAGTAGGAAGAGTCAGTTGGGTAAAGGTTGTAGGGAATTTGGCATAATAATTACATACTTTTAATGGCTTAACCCGGCCTGTCTCACATCGATAGGAAATAGCAGCTATAAACAAATGGCAACCTTGATTTGACTTACTAAATCCAGATTTAAGTCCTACAACTTTGGGTGATTTGGAGCAACTATAGTATTACTTACTTGGCTCTAGTATGGTTAATTAACAATTAGCAGAGCAGTCGGGTCCCAATTAATTTCCATGTAGACTTGACTCATTGCACCTTAATTGGCCATGAGTTTCTTGCTGATCAACCCAACTAAATTGGACACTCTTGTTACACCAGATTTGAAGTAATCATTTTTTAAGACCGTATACAAATTGACAGCTCTCAGATTTGCACTTTAAAATTATTGCCCATCTAGTCTTCTCCATCCATCTTGTGATTTAGTGAGTCCAGTCTAAGTCTTCTACTCCCTTAGTTGCTTTGGGAAGTGGATAGAGAAGATGAGAAACCATAGCTTTGAAAAGTTTGTCCATGGACTGTACTTCTGCTTCTTCTGTCCTGGGGAGCAACATAGACAAAATGTGCAATAGGGGCAAAATGGGCAGGCAAGATAAAACTCCCTGTCTGTTGAGCAGGTTTATTATGACCTATATCCAGCACATTTATGTGGGCAGTACAAGAACTATCTATTAGTTTTACTGATTCCTTAATAATAACAAAGTTTAAACGTGAAGTTTAGATGGAGTAGAGAGTATCACATTGGGAATAATGAAGTGGAGTGAAGGTCACCTCCATTTGGTTCTCTCCATTTTGCTCTGGGATACTCTTGTGTAGGTCTTATTATCTGCTCTCTAATTGTGGCACATTTATTTATTTGCCGATTATGTTGTTTTTGCCTTTTGACACTGCCAAAATCAGTCTAGCAACAAATAAACAGATGACCAAAATATTAATTTGGTAGAAGTCTTTTAAACAATGTATGAAATCCCCGTCCACAAGACAGACCACAGACATCTCAACTATTCCATATACATTTATATCTGTATGTCCAGTTTTGGAAAAGGAAGCTTTTATAATTTCTCAGTGGGGTAGTGGAACACCAGCAGTAGATATTTCTGAAGAAGGTCCGTATATATTTCCTGGGTGATTCTATTCCTGTGAATCTACTGGAATTCAAATGTTTTTTTTGTTTGTTTTTTTAAATTTGGGGTAAAAAGCTTTTACATTTTTTAATAAAAGTAATTTTAAAAAAACATTGCAAGAAAAATAAAAAAAGGTAATTGATGTACAGACAATGGAGTTTCTGGTGAAGGTAACATTAAATTACTCCTGGGGTGAGTGTGGTAATTATCAACATAGGTTTGCTTTGCAAAAACCATCTATACGGACAGGAGTTCATACATCATTAGCACATTGACAAAGAATGAAATGTAACTGTAAAATGGCACCAGAGTATATCTCAGTAAGCAGAAGCAAAATATTTTAATGTGGCAATTCAGATGAAAGATGCATTATTCTAAAATCTGAATGTGTCTCAATCCAGTTTCTTCACTAAAGTGCATACATCCCAAATCACATACGTTGATAAACTCCAACAAATATAAACCATTATGCTGCTAAATGCTCCCAGTGGTTTATGGGAGTTGTATTCTGAGAAAAGGCAGGACTGCCAAATTTAGCTGGATAATCTAAAAATTTAAATAGTGATTCAGTATGTAGTTTAACACTGCAAAAAGCTTGCCCTTAATTTCATCTTATTTTTAGATTTCAAATTCACGTTATGATAACTGCTTAAAAATCTATTGCATAAAGCAGTGCATTAATCAAGCGTAATTAAAATTAGCATAAACTATTTTTTTTCTAAATTTATCTAGAAATTATGCATCTATAGATATGATGTGATGTAGTGTAATCATTACTTAATTTCTGTTAATTAAATATAATATAAAGAAAGTTTATATTTTTATGAGTGTATTTGCATACATGCCATGTGACTTCTTGGAATTTTTAGAAGTGGCACCTGTCTTGATTGTCTATTATCCCCCACTTATAAATATTACTATAGAGGCAGAATTGATTTGGCTCTGGTGCTTTGAGTAAACACTGTAACTGGTAGGTTGGGAGAAAACTCGATTTGAAATCGCCTTTCTCACCTCAGGAGTATTTGGATAAATTTCATGCAGTGTCACTTTATGGATTCCACACCAGAATCTTCCCATGCGTACACACCCAGTTATTATTAAATAAATGGTTTTCTAGTTTTTAGCTATTTATAATGTGTAGTTTTATTAAATAAGGAAATAAATATGACAAAAAAAAGAACAAATCAGTTTTTCATTTTCCTTTTTCTAGCAATCTGTTATGTGTATCCTTTCACAGGATCCCTTTGTATGCTTGCATATATCCCCTTCTTTCCCGTAGTCTCCATTGTAAAAGGGTATGATGGATTGTACAGGGGACTGTTTCATCATGTCTAAATAAAATGTCTGGTTTTGTTGCTTTTTAATGGTCTTTTTTTTATTGATATTTATTACTACACAATCTGTTATGAGCACAAGGGAAAAAAAAACATGTTTTAAAGGTGCATGAATTAATAGAAACATATCAGATATTTTTTTATTTATTTTCTAATTACTTTAAAAAGATAATGCATAAAATATCTTTAAACAAATATTTTGCCTTGATCTAAGCCTGGTGTGTAGAGTTACCTGCAGGGCACAATTCTTTACTTGGTCTGTTTACTCTTATCTATTATCCTATCAGGGTTATTTAATAAAGTGAGAATTCAAAGTGAATTTCAATTTTAACGTCATAATAGCCAAACTTTGAAATTGATGTCCACTTTGGTTACTTTGGCCTTAAAATTGAAATGCACTTTGAATTTTCACTCTAGTAAATAACCCATTTGTATAACCTATGAATCAGTCTTTATAAATTTTATTAAAGACACGGAGGCTCATATTATGCATTATTAGGCTCTTTCTTTATTTCCTCAGCAGCAAAGATAGAGGAATATAAATATTATCAAAATGAAAAAAAAAAAACTACATAGGTAACCAATCACATAACAGAGGAAGTAGCTATATAAGTCCTGTGTCTCCCACAATCCCCCTCTTTCTTTGCTGCTTCCTCAGATAAATAAGTGTTTTACTCTTGTTGTTCTGATTTGTTTATTTGATTATGATATTTCATTTGTCTTCTTGCATTTGTCCTGTACATTGTTGTACTTGATTTATTCGTCTTTAGTGTGCCTCAGTGATCCCTGGGGGTTTTTCCCCTTACCGGGAGGTCCTTTCCCTGCCCTCCCCTGCTCCCCGTGTATCTCGCGGGTGCCGGCGTTTATTGCAAAATGGCCGCCGCATGCGAGGGAAGCGGGGGAAGAGGCGCGTGCCCCGGCGGGGGAAGAGGCGCGTGCACTCAGCCCGCGAGCGGGTTGGGGAGTGCACAGAGCTGCGGCCGCGAAAGAAGAAACGGCCGCGGCTCCGTGCACTCCCCAACCCGCTCGCGGGCTGAGTGCACGCGCCTCTTCCCCCGCCGGGGCACGCGCCTCTTCCCCCGCTTCCCTCGCATGCGGCGGCCATTTTGGGGCGGACTTCCACGCGGTCTGCATACCACTGCCGTGCGGTCGGTCACCTCGTTCTCCTCTGGGTCCCCCTGGGCACACTAACGGTCTGATTCTTTTGTTCTCTCTCTGTGCTGTGGGTTACTCATCCCTTCAGTTTATTTTTTCTACTCTGCTTCAATTGTTTTGCATCTCTACTTCACTGCTATTGTGCCAGTATGCAGGATAGGGATGATGGGCCTGCAGGTCCCTCTGGGGACTTTAACATGGGGAATGCTGAGGGTGCTATGGCCTCTCAAGAATTTCAGGCCCTGCTAGAGGCCACTATGGCTTCTTCCCTGCAGAAGGCTATTGCCTCGGCCATGGGTGCTGTCTCCTCCTCCTTTACCCACTCCCTGCATTCTATGGTATTGCCTGCACTGGCCACCCCTGCCTGGGGCCCATAAGGCGAAGGCCAAGTCTAAAAATGTCGGCTCCCACTCCTCGATGCAGGTACTACCTGCCATGACTGACACGCTGGAGGCGGTCACAGATAGCGCGCACCCCACGCGCAAAAGAGCCCCTGGCCGGGCTAAAAAGGCTAGATTATGGAAACGGGCTAGAGCCCTGGATGATGTGTCGGATACCGACCGGAGTGTGGAGGACGAATCCGACTTTATGGAATACGATTCCTTTGATGAGGGTGAATCTGGCGAGGATTTGCCCCTTACGGGCGTGACCCCCTCAGGGTCCTCTGCCAAGGCCTCTGGGGATACCAAAGTGATTCTTGACCCACAGGGTAACCCCCTGTCCGACCCGGATGACCTACGACACCCCCGGTCTGCTGAATGGGTCCCCCCTGATCATATTGCCCAGTATGTGGCTAAGCGTATTCGCACCCCACTTTCTAAAGAAGGCCGCAATAAACTGCGCGCCGAATGCCCTAGACCTTCCCTCCCGGGCACTGCCGGTAAGACCCCGGACATTGATCCCCAGATTGCCCAGTTCCTCAATAAGTCGGGCTGGAAACCCAAGAAGGGTCTTGACCACTCCCTGAAAGGATGCCAGGACAAGATCTTGGACACTCTAGGGCCCCTATCGAAGCTTTACGAGCTTCTCAACGCCGCCAGAACTGGGGACTCAGTTTTGGACGTGGACGTGGCCATTGGATGGGTCCAACGGGCTATATGCCTGCTGGGAAATGCTAATACAGCCATGTCCGCTGAGAGGCGTAAGGCGATCCTCTTAAAGATCGACCCTAAATTGGCCACTATGACTGTGGCGGAACCTGACCCAACTGAGGAGGGCTTGCTGTTCGGCTCCTCTTTCGTAAAGGACATGGGCTCCTATGTGAAGACCTTTACGGCAATTGATAAGGCGCAAGCGAACATGAAACGCGTGTTCGCGCCCAAGGTTTTTGGAGGGGCCGGGCGTAGCAGGAACCGTCCACCCGGCCGCGGCTTCCGTGGCACGTTCCGTGCGGCCAGAGGTTCCTTTTTTCCCTCACGAGGATTTCAAGACCCGAGAGCACCCACCTTCTTTCCAGCCAGGGGCAGAGCTTGGGGGTCCAGATACCCCCGCGGTGGCGCTCCCAACAGACGTCCTTACGGTGAGTACCCTTTCTTCCCCTCTCGCTCAGGTTCGGGTTGCGGGGAGGCTGGCCTTGTTTTACCAAGGGTGGGCAGATATATCCACAGATGCTTGGGTACTGCAATGCGTAAGGGGATAGCATCTGGAGTTTGTTTCCATGCCTGTCCAGTTTTATCCCCCCAGGGAGCTGTTTCTTCCGCCGGATCAGGACGAGATGATTTCCGCGGAAGTCGTGGAAATGTTGTCCAAGGGCGCAATAGAGGAATTGCCGTTCGCCGCCAGAGGCTTTACGAGCAATTTGTTCCTGGTGCCCAAGAAAGGGGGCGGGGTTCGCCCTGTGATAAATCTTCGCCCCTAAACGCTTTCCTACGTTACCAACACTTCCAAATGGAAGGTATACACTGCCTCAGAGACTTTCTGCGCCAGTTGGACTGGCTGGCCAAGCTGGACCTGAAGGACGCTTACTTCACGGTCCCCATTGCTCTAGAATTCAGGGACTATCTCCATTTCACATGGCACGGGCGACGTTGGCGCTTCACCTGCCTGCCTTTCGGTCTCTCCTCGGCTCCTTGGTGTTTCACCAAGCTCATGAAGCCGGTGGTGGCGTTCCTCCGAACCCGGGGGGTTCGCCTCATTATTTACCTGGACGACATTCTGATTTTGTCCCAATCAAAAGAGGATCTCCTCCTGCACCTGGAGTGGACGACCAACCTTTTGCAAAAGTTGGGATTTCTGGTCAACTGGGACAAGTCGGTCCTGATCCCCGCCCAGTCTATAGAGTTTCTGGGTTTCAAGGTGGATTCCGTCCAACAATTTCTATTCCTACCGCGTTCCAAGGTGAAAGCCATCCAGAAGGAAATCTGAAGGGCTCTTCGTGCCTCAGACTTGTACGTCAGGCAACTGGCAAGAATTATTGGCCTCCTCGCGGCCTCTATTCAAGCGATCTACCCAGGTCTTCTACATTATCGAGCCCTCCAGCGGCTCAAAGGGTCTCACCTTCGGTCAGGTCACTCCTACGAATCTCGGATACGTTTGGACACGGAGTCCAGAGACGAGTTGGTGTGGTGGTTGGCACACATGGAGGCATGGAACGGGAGAGCCATTTTCGGTTCCATCCAGGATGTGGTGATAGAGTCCGATGCCAGCTTGCACAGCTGGGGTGCCTGTTGTGCCGACGTTTCCACAGGAGGCAGATGGTCCGACATGGAGAAGTCGTTACACATCAACTGCTTGGAACTCCTGGCAGGGGCCTTCGCGATCCGCAGCCTTACCCCAGGACGGGCGAATTGCTGCGTTCTTCTCAAGATGGACAACGTGTCGGCAGTCCGTTACATAAATCACCTAGGGGGTACAAAATCCAAGATGCTGGCGAATCTAGCAAAAGATTTCTGGCAGTTCTGCCTCTACAACAACGTCTCGGTGACGGCGGAGCACATCCCGGGTCTGGACAATTCGGGAGCGGATTGGAATTCCAGACACTTAAGAGACTCTGGGGATTGGTGTTTGCACGCTTTGGTGTTCCGGAGCCTAGACAAGTTGTGGGGAAAATTCCGGATGGATCTGTTGGCATCGCGCCTGAACACTCAACTACCGAAATTCTACAGTTGGAGGCGGGACCCGGCAGTGGTGGCGACGGATGCCTTTCTCCAGGAATGGCCGCAGGGTCATCTATACGCCTTTCCCCCATTCAACATGATCGCACGCACGATCTTGAAATTGGTTCGCCACGACTGTCGTTTGGCACTTGTCACCCCTCTATGGAGATCTTGACCATGGTTCCCTCGCTTGATGGAGCTGTCAATAGACTACCCTCGATTGATACCGATCTTCCAGGACCTCCTTCTGGATCCGGATGGGAACTCACACGAGCTGGTGATGCAGCACCAGTTACCCTTGATAGCATGGTTCCTTTCAGGGGACCTTGGGTTGTCCCAGACGTTCCGCAGACAACTCTCCTGCTCCTCGATAACGCCTGGGCCCCGGGTACACGAGCAGCTTATCGAGCTTCATGGAGATCGTGGTCTGGTTGGTGCATGGAACGGGCAATGGATCCCGTATCTGCCCCTCTACATCTGATCCTGGAGTTCCTTACGTTCCTGTTTGACTCGGGCAAGGCATACCGCACGATCAACCTTTCCCGCTCGGCTATTTCGGCCGGTCACAAGGGTTTGGACGGTTCCCCTGTCGGCAGACATCCCTTTGTATGTCGCCTTCTCAAGGGTATTCGCCTTGCTCGTTCTCCTCGGCCTCGTTTTTCTGCCTTTTGGGATGTCAACGTGATGTTACAGTTCCTGTCATCATGGTACCCTAACCAGGAACTGACTCTCAAGCAATTGTCATCCAAGCTCGTGATGTTACTCTGTTTGGTCTCTTGCAAGAGGGTCTCTGACGTCAGGGCCCTGGATTGGGACGCCATTGCCTTCACTCCGGAAGGTGTTACTTTTGACATATCGAGGAGGACTAAGTCTGCATCTAAGTCGTTTACATACCCTAGGTTTTCAGGTTATCCGGCACTCTGTCCGGTGGATTGCCTTAAGGCTTACCTAGACGTTACACGATCACTTCGTTCCTCCGAACTACATGCCCTGTTCATATCCTTTAAATCGCCTCACCGACCGGTTTCTACACCTACTCTGGCACGCTGGTTGCGTTGGCTGTTGTCTTCTGCGGGTATAGACACCTCTGTATTTACGCCTCATTCTGTGCGAGGCGCGATGGCTTTGAAAGCATCCACAGTCGGATGTCGTCTGGAAGACATTATGCGAGCGGCGGATTGGTCTCGAGAATCGACCTTTCGAGAATTCTATTTCAGACCAATTGAACACATCGGATCTCGGGTGATTGCACAGCTTTAAACTTGCATAATATGAGCCTCCGTGTCTTTAATAAAATTCCCAGATTTTACTAGTAACATGACGTAAAGTCATGATTTTATTAAAGACACGGAGGCGAGTATTATTCCCTCCCACCCTCCCGGTGTGGATCTGGGATATGAGATGCTTTGGGACTCTTCAGGTATGTTACAATTTGGTCTGTATTTATATCAATTTTGTATGGCTTTATAAGTTTTAGAAGTTTTATACTACTTATTAATTATTTTTATATTTTTTCTATTTCAGGATTCAGTTTTTGTCTGTGACTCCCGACGGTTATCTTTGGTAAGTCTGCAGTTTTGAGTTTGGAAATTACCATATTTCTCTGTCTCTTTAAGCTTGAAGTTGTTGCATTGTTCCCGTTCTTCCTGTTCTGATCAAGTGGGACATCGTTCTTCTAACCTGGTCTTCGGTTTCGCAAGAAAGAGGGGGATTGTGGGAGACACAGGACTTATATAGCTACTTCCTCTGTTATGTGATTGGTTACCTATGTGCCTATACAGTTTTTTTTTTCCATTTTGATAATATTTATATTCCTCTATCTTTGCTGCTGAGGAAATAAAGAAAGAGTTATGCATAATACTCGCCTCCGTGTCTTTAATAAAATCATGACTTTACGTCATGTTACTAGTAAAATCTGGGAATTCTAATCCCTCTCCCTCAAGATGGACCAAGAAAAGGAGACATGCTCCTGTGAAAAATGTTAATGCATTGTGTGTTCTATGAAATTCATTTTGAGCTTATTGTCACACATTTTGACACAGATTCACACACATTGGCAGACACACACACTGACACAGATACACACACACATCTGTTTAAATTTTCTGTTCACCACCTTTTTTCTGCTGGAGGGTGTTCAGTGCTGCTGGCTGAGGTTGGTGTACTGCTCATTCCCCACTTCTCTCCCTCCAGCCGGTGTGCTCTGTCTGGGAGGTAATGCTGTCCCTTCCTACCAGCATACTATACAACAGGGGTCCGTTTGCGGTCTTAGATGGCCGTGGCGCGTGACTGGCCCCCTCTTTAGCGATAGCCATCGGGTGGCCCTAAATGCTTGGGCCACCCGACGGGCAAATCGCTGCCGAACCCCACGTTTGTTCTCGCGGAACCTTAGGGTTTCGCAGAACATTGGGAAACGCTGGTATAGCATTAAATGTGTTTATTACCCTGGGATTTCCCAAAATGATTTAAAGATTTTAAACAAATTGCATCTTCTCTCAATTGTTCCTATTGTTGAGCTATAAACTGTATCATATAAAAAGGAGTGTTGATTTGAGATGAAATTATAGTTTTGTCTCTTTACAAATAAATGATAAACGCAATCTTAATATACAAGAACACCTTACTGACTTTGACAGACATGACCTACCTAGGGTTGAGGCTGCTGGCTGATGAGCTTATTTCTACAATCTTTTCAGAGCTTTAAAATGCCAGTGGTCGTCTCTTTTTAAAGGCATTCATGAGCATACATTGTAGGTGTTTTTTTTTTTTTTTACTGCTAAACTGTACAAATTTGCATTTGAATCTAATGGGCTACTTGTCTGCCTATTTCCCAGAATTACCTTAGCTCCTGTGTAAAAAAGTTATATCACTTGTAAGTGATTTACTTTACAGATAAAGAAAGAAAAAAGTGTAAAAACTGAAACTTGGCTATCTATATTATTATAGGGACAATATAGGCACCAAAACCACTACAGCTTAAATTGATGTAGTCAATGTACAATTTTGAGATATATGCACCTCCACTTTGTTCCAGAGCCTCATTCTGAGCTTTGTAGGTGTGTCACCCACCTCTGGTCTGTCCGAGCAGTCTTCTGTGATTTCCTGTGTGATGCGACACAATTACTTTGTTGCCACCATGTTGGCGTCCTATACTCCCTAACCAGCACTAGCAGTGTTGTGTAGAGATTTTCCATAGGAATAACAGTGCGTGCACTGTGGTTGCAAGGTGTGGCGAGCAGTAGAACTGCCTGTGAGGCTGTCCATACGGGCTCTACAGTGTAAATACTACCTTTTTTGAGGAAAGGCACTATTTACACTGCTGCCTAATACCACCTCTAGTGGTTGTCAGAGTTCTGTCCTCAACAACTCTGTATGGAGACTCTGAACCCTACCTATAGAGACTCAATGTAGCCCTATGAGGAGATGCTGATTGGCTCAGTGCGGCGTTTTGCTGCACATGCACATTAATGTAACGGCCTGTGGGTACTCCAGCTGAGTACTTCTGTTACTTACTGGCTTCCTATGCTATTTTCTGACCATCCAGAATTCACTTACTGAGTCGAAGTAGTCTGTGCTGCTAGAAGTGCTCAGATGCCCATCTCATAGTACTCTGAGCAGCATTCGGGGGTGAAATGTAGTGATTGATTATAGCAATGTTTATAGTTTTTACCCCACAGTCGAGACTGCATGTAGGGATTATCCAGCATTGATTTTATTGTAGCTGTGCAGCTATTTATAACAGCAGAGGTCATTTGCATACAATAGTATAATTAACAGTTCTCCATTAAGTCATCTTCCCATAACTCCTTGTTTTTCTTGCTGGAAAAAAAAAACCTTAGCCCCACCAAAACAAACAAATACTCAATGCCATTTTGTCCAGATAATTAGCCTGAAATAAACATATTTAATACAACGAATGCCACTTGTAAAATTCCCATCCAAGGAAGGAGAACCTTTACCCTGCAACCTCATCCTCATGGGTCTGCCAGGGCTGTCCGGTACAGTCCACATCAGTCGTTTATGGTTCCAATTTGGTCAGAAGTGACAACATTTCGGCATTCACATTCTATTTGCTGGACCGGTATTGAATGTTAAAATAAAGATTTGCAGGGCCATGCTCCACATTAACAGACTGCCATTATCTCAGGACACCTGATTTAATCGGACCAGTGGGTTGTGGTCAGCACTGTGAAGAAACGTGTGGCGGAACCAACCTCGCCACTGTCCACTGGAGAGGCCTGGTTGCTTGCCTGCTCCCTTTAGACTATGGTCCTGCATTTCAAACTTTTATTTTACCTGCAGAAAGGTTTATTCGTGCCTTTCTGCGGACTGTTAAAGCCATGCTACCCCAGATAGCTATGCCAAGGAGCCCAGCCGTATACTGAAAGACTATATGAAAGACTTTGGCTCTATGGCGATTGAACTGTATGTATGTGATCTGAGCACCATCCGGTAATAATATGCGCTCAGATGTCAGCTATCTGGGGATAGGTAGAATATGTATGTTCGGTGTGATAAATGTAACAGTATGTATTTTTATGTCTTTTATTGTCCTTTTTCTGCCATGTGGCTAATGGAGTTTTGCCTCTGTCCTTGGAGATAATTGGATTACTTCCCAATTATCTCCAGGATAGAAGACTCTGTGGAACTGGTTTTGGGCAGAAAAGCCATGCTTCATTTGGTCAAATAGGACTTTCCCTTAACTTTTTAACCCCTGGATGGAATTGGCTGAATTTTGGTTATGTTTATATTTAAAGTATGCTGATTTTATGGGAATAAGATGCATATTTCTAAAGTTACAGTGTATGTATAAAAAGTGTATTTTTCCTGCCTGTGATAAATTACATTAACCCATTGTGTTCAGTAATTATATCACAGGCATAGGGGAGGGATGTATGTTTGTGCTGGGTGTGTTTTACGGTTCTCCTGTAAATGATTGGTTGTACTGTGTCCCACCCTGTGGGATGTCCCCTTGCATGGGGACTTGCATAAAAGCCAGTGTGTGGCCATTACAGTGGAGTTCCTGCTTAACCCTCAAAGTGAAGTGTCGTCTCATTATTGGGAGAGGATTTATTGTATGCTGTTCCAGTTTGACTTCTAGGGGTGTAAACCTATTCGCATGGTTTTTCCCTATTCGGCTGTATACAACATTCACATGCTTAAAAGTACTCATATGCTTGTCCGGTTCGGTGATTGTGGTGTCTGCCAGAGTGCTTGGAGTCCTCAGGAAACGCTAGGAGCATCCTTTAACGGAGGTACCCAGTCGGGGTGCCAGGTGATCCGTTACAAAACGTACATACAAATAGGAAACGCTAAGCATTCCTTTTCGATTGCTGTATAAGTCACCTCCCGGAGCAAACCCTTACAAATAATGTAGACCACTGAATTCTCACTCCGTTTTCTCCTACTTAGCTTAATACAACTCCCAACCTGAACAAGTATCTGTGTGGATAAGGAATCCAGTACGGTAGCACTGGTTAAAGCAAGTTTTAAGATGTTAAAAGCAGTATCTCACTCGGGGGACCACAGGACCTATCAAGGAAAGTTTTTAGTGAGGTCAGGCAGGGCTTTGGCTATGGTGCTGTAGTTGGGTACAAATTTTCTGTAGTTTCATAGTCACTGCCACTATCTTGGTGGACTCCAGTTACTGTCACCTCCTCCCCAATCTGTGCCCCAAATACTCAACTTCGGATACTCCAATGGTACATTTATCATGTCTCAGGATCAGTCCAGCATCCTTGATCTGATCCAACACCACACTCAGGTGTGTGGCTATAGATCACAATGTCATCCATGTACGCACAGGTATAATCCTGGATTCCATCAAGGAGTCGATCTATCATCAAATGGAATTTCTCGAAACTGGTATAAGCCAAACGGGGTGATGTACGCCAACTTCGGAATTGCTTCTGGGTCCAACTGAATTTTCCAGTACCCCTGACATAAATCAATGGTCGTGAGATAATTTTCCGTGGCTAACTGTTCTAATAGCTCATCTGCACGGGGCATAGGATAGGCGTCTATAGTGGTCCTGTCATTTAGTCAGTGGTAATTGACACAGAAGCAGGTAGCGCCAAGGACTATTGGAGGGTTCGATTATTCCAAAATTGAGCATTTTCCAAATCTCTGCTAGCATGCCCTCTTGAATCAATTCAAGGATCCGGTATGCTGGTTGCCTTAGTGGCATCTGCCCTGGTGTTTCTACATGGAGCATTGCTGCCGAGGCATACCCTGGGTTTGTCGAAACCTTCTCCACCTCCTCCCCTCAGGAATCCATTTCCTCTGGCATGGGAATATTCTCAGAAACACCTTCTGCCAAATGGAGAAAACAAGTGCCTGTGCAATACGATTGTACCACTGACTCCTTGCTAGGATGTATTTAAACTGGGGGGGGGGCAAAAGGGTGATAAAACATCAATCCAATTGTCCTCCAAAACAAGGACAGAAGGTGCCTGTAGCAAGTGTGTCAAAAAATGATAAGCTTAGAGTCATGTCTACAAATGCTCGCAGTTTAGGGAAAAAGATCCATGAACTTGCGGCAATAATGGCAACTGATAGTGTAGATTTAGTCGCTGTTACTGAGACATGGTATAATGAGAAAAATTACTGGGACATATCAATACCAGGGTACTCTTTATATAGAAAAGATAGGGAAGGCAAGAAAGGGGGAGGGGTGGCCCTGTATGTGAAGGATAGCATAAAATCTAGCCTAATAAAAGTTAGTGAGACAAACAGAGTCCGTTTGGGTTACGTTAGAATTTGGTAATCACACAGTAACTCGTGTAGGTGTGATTTATAGGCCCCAGGACAAATTGAAGAGTTAGATAATCTACTAGTTGAGGAAATAGCTAAAATGACAATGAAGGGGGAAGTTATCATCATGGGTGACTTTAATCTTCCTGATGTAAATTGGAAAACAAAATTAGCTACTTGTGTCAGGAGCACACATATTCTAAACTCACTACTGGGATTGTCTCTAAAACAAGTTGTTGAAGAGCCAAATTGTAAAGAGGCCATACTAGATTTAGTGTTAACAAATGGAGATTTGGTATCAGATATTACTGTAGGTGAAAGTTTAGGATCCAGTGATCATCAGTCAGTGTGGTTTAATATAAGAACAGTGACTGAGTCACACCACACAAAACAAAAGTTTTAGACTTTAGAAAAACAGACTTTTCTAAAATTAGAATATGGGTAGAGGAGTCATTATCAGACTGGAGCAATTTAAATGGAGTCCAAGAGAAATGAGATTATTTAAAAGTTGCACTATTGAAGGCAACAGAAAATTGCATTAGGCTTGTCAGTAAAAGCAAAAAATTCAAGAAATCACTGTGGTACTCCGCAGATGTGGCCAAAATAGTTAAAAACAAAAAGTTAGCATTTAGGAATTATAAAAAAACCCGGAGTGTGGAAGACAAAATGATCTATAAGATTAGGCAGAAAGAGGCTAAGCAAGTTATAAGAGCTTCCAAATCACACACAGAAGAGAAAATAGCACAGTCAGTAAAAAAGTGGGACAAATCATTTTTTAGATACATAAATGAGAAAAGAAAAGTAAAACAAGGATTAGTTAGATTAAAAAAAAAAGAAGGAAGGTATGTAGAAGAGGATAAAGGTCTAGCTGCCTCAATGAATAATTTTGTTCTGTATTTACAGATGAAAATGAAGGAAAAGGACCTCAGTTAAGAAAAAGGATAAATGAGTCATTTATTACACGTGAGTTTACAGAGGAAGAGGTTCTATTTCAACTGTCAAAAGTATAAGTCAATGGGACCTGATGGAATACACCCAAAGCTATTAAAAGAGCTTAGTGGTGTACTAGCAAAACCATTAACAGATTTATTTAACCAATCATTGTTAACAGGAGTAGTCCCAGAAGATTGGAAGTTAGCGAATGTTGTGCCCATTTACAAGAAAGGTAATAGGGAGGAGTCGGGCAACTATAGGCCAGTAAGCCTTACTTCAGTAGTGGGGAAAGTGATGGAAACCATGTTAAAGGATAGGATTGATTGAACATCTAAAACACATGGATTTCAAGATCAGAGACAACATGGGTTTACTTCAGGGAGATCATGCCAAACTAATCTTATTGATTTTTTTGATTGGGTAACTAAAATTATAGATCAGGGTGGTGCAGTAGACTTTGCTTACCTAGATTTCAGTAAGGCTTTTGACACTGTTGCACATAGAAGGCTTATGAATAAACTGCAATCTTTATGTTTGGATTCCAATATTGTTGAATGGGTAAGGCAGTGGCTGAGTGACAGGCAACAGAGGGTTGTAGTTAATGGAATATATTCAAAGCTTGGACTTGTCACCAGTGGGGTACCTCAGGGATCTGTACTTGGACCCATTCTCTTTAATATTTTTATTAGTGATATTGCAGAAGGTCTTGATGGTAAGGTATGTCTTTTTGCTGATGATACTAAGATATGTAACAGGGTTGATGTTCCAGGAGGGATAAGCCAAATGACAAATGATTTAGGTAAACTAGAAAAATGGTCAGAATTGTGGCAACTGACATTTAATGTGGATAAGTGCAAGATAATGCATCTTGGACGTAAAAACCCAAGGGCAGAGTACAGAATATTTGATAGAGTCCTAACCTCAACATATGAGGAAAGGGATTTAGGGGTGATTATTTCTGATGACTTAAAGGTAGGCAGACAATGTAATAGAGCAGCAGGAAATGCTAGCAGAATGCTTGGTTGTATAGGGAGAGGTATTAGCAGTAGAAAGAGGGAAGTGCTCATGCCATTGTACAGAACACTAGTGAGACCTCACTTGGAGTATTGTACACAGTACTGGAGACCGTATCTTCAGAAGGATATTGATACCTTAGAGAGGGTTCAGAGAAGGGCTACTAAACTGGTTCATGGATTGCGGGATAAAACTTACCAGGAAAGGTTAAAGGATCTTAACATGTATAGCTTGGAGGAAAGACGAGACAGGGGGGATATGATAGAAACATTTAAATATATAAAGGGAATCAACACAGTAAAGGAGGAGACTATATTTAAAAGAAGAAAAACTACCACAACAAGAGGACATAGTCTTAAATCAGAGGGACAAAGGTTTAAAAATAATATCAGGAAGTATTACTTTACTGAGAGGGTAGTGGATGCATGGAAAAGCCTTCCAGCTGAAGTGGCAGAGGTTAGCACAGTAAAGGAGTTTAAGCATGCGTGGGATAGGCATAAGGCTAGGGACTAATGAAAGTATTTAGAAAATTGGGCAGACTAGATGGGCCGAATGGTTCTTATCTGCCGTCACATTCTATGTTTCTATGTTACCACACCTTCTGCCGACCCTGGGCTGCCTATTCTCCCGAGCCACTTCAGTGAGATCCTTCAGGTATCAGGCTTAACACGAGGACAGTGCTCTTTTAATAGGTCTAGTGGCTCCGTCACCCATCTCCGCTATTGCATCTCAAACAGCGGGAACCCGGTGGATTTCCCAATAAGTGAACAAGAGGGAGGGCAAGCATTGGTCCCAGTCCTTGCAAGCGGCTATGAAAGCCTGACGCAATTATTTCAGGGTACCATTAAATTCCTTGCAAAGTCTGTTTGTCTGTGAGTGGTAAGGGGCACTATGCAGTCCATAGTTGTTGGGTCAATTCAGCCGTGAACTGTGTACCCTGGTCCAATACCACTTCCCTGGAAAACCCTGGGGTATATGGTGGCATAATCCACAAGTGTCCGGATTCTTGCTGGTGGGACTTGGCCGAGCTAGCGGTCCTACAATGTCGACCACAACCCTACTGAAGTGCTACTATGGGTATAGGGTGTAAGGGTGCTTTTGGGTGGTCACCTTGTCTTCCCACGTACTGGCTTATGTCCCAGTTTTGGCAGTAATCTCTAATGTCACTGGTAACACCGGGCTAAAAGATGTTTTGGATCAGGCTAAGTCGGGACATTTTGGTACCTAAGTGTCCTGATAGGGGAATGTCATGGGCGCTGCAAAAAAGCTTGGTCCTAAATTTCCTGGGTTCTAGCAATTGTCATTTAGGGATTTGCACAACTCCAATCCCCACCACATCATTCTCTTAGTTTAGTTCAAACTATGGCCTTGTCCTCCACCCCTCTGGGGTCACCCTAGCCCTTCTATGTTAAGATGTCATGGTTGGGTCTGTCTCCATCTCATGGATCAAGTCATCTGTGAATGTCTAAGTCACAGGCGGGGCAGTCACAGTAGAGTCCCATCCAGAGTGAATTCCACTGCTTTTGCTGGGTGGGCACTGGAAAAGCTGCGATAGTAAATTCTGGTTAGTGGGGATGTGTATGGGCAAAAAATTTGGTTCGCACATCTGAATTTAGGACTTCGGCAATTCGGGACTTCAGCGGTTTGGTTCGGCACTTCCAAAGTTCGTGACTTTGGCACTTAGGCAATTCCCTACACCTTCCCCTAACCCTATCCCTACTAGGGTTAAGGGTACCTAATCCTACTAGGGTTAGGGGTAAGGTTAGGATTAGAGGAAGGTTGGAGTTAGGGGTAAGGTTAGGATTAGAGGAAGGTTGGGGTTAGGGTTAGTGGTAGGGTTAGAGGAAGGTTGGGGTAAGGGTTAGGGCTAGGATTAGGGTTAGATTCCTGTCATCATTCCCTTAATTTCCCCTCCCTCTCCTGTTTTGCCACTTTTCAGAAATCCAAAGCACTTCGGCACTTCCGAAATACGTCACTTCGGCAATTTGGTTCGGTTCGGCACTTCAGCAATTCGGACATTCGGAAGCATCCTAATGTCCGAATTACTGAAATTCATCCGAATTTAAATTCGGACCAAAACAAATTGCACGTGTCTACTGGTTGTTAACCCAAACCTGGAAGTTGGGGGGCACAGTTGAAAAATTGTTCAAGTATGATGATTTGAACGGCCTTGGTCAAAGTAGTTACCTGGCATCCCTGCATCCAGCTCTCAACTGCCTGCTGCATCTGGTGGCCTCACACTGTGAAGGTACACCTTTCAGATTGCTAAATTGTTGTCGACACATCTCCAGGATGATGACATACTGGGCTAAGAGCCTTTCTTTCATGAGATTATAGTTGTGTGCTCCTCATCAGACCAGACCCCTTTCTCACAAGGATGGTGACCCAATCCTCTTTCAGCAACTGTTGTAACACACATTGCCTCTCGAAATAAAATAGATATCCTTCAATATTCCCCTCACATCATTGAAAGTCTTAAATGCATTGGCAGCAAATTTCTCTCCTCCCATTCAGTCTGTTTAGGCGTCTCCACGCACACTGCAGGATGCTTCTCCCCTTTCTTTGATTGTCCCGCCAGGGTCCTTGACATATCCCTTCAGAGGGATGTGGGCTGTATTAACGTAGCCGCTGTTGCATAAGCCAATCAAATTCGTCGACCTCGGGTTTAACTACTCCATTCTCGTCTGATCGATCACCCTCCATCAGTTTCTCGATCAAGGCTATTTTGGTCAGATTGCTGGCTACAATACCTTGAACTTTCACCAAGTGTTTCAGGGTAGCTGGCTTCAAGCACCCCCCCTGGTTCCTCACAGCTTGTTCCTGGTACCGGTGGTGGTTAGGATGCTCCTTAGAGCCAGGAAGCGATCCCTCCTATTGCCACCAGTCATAGCCTACGGCACTGTGGCTGAGTACCTCTGTTACTTCTTGGCTTCCTAGGTTATTTTCAGACCATGCGGTATCGCCTTGCTGAGTCAAAGTATTCTGTTATTTTATTTTGGGGGTCCCAATTATCTAAATAGTTACTAGCACACTATAGAGCTCATAATACATGTTTGAATCCATGACAGAACCATGAGATATTCCAATTGTCAATGCTAATTCAACTTCAGAACTGCCAACTGCCATCACTATATCTTTCAACCACATATTGATTGTCAGTCTATGTTTGTTTCATTCTGCACAGTAATTTTCTGAAGAGCTGTCATTGAGAAGTATTGCAAACACTGCAAAAAGTGCAATTAGCTTTCCTACTTCAAATGGGTTTTTTTGGGGGACGTAGGAATACCCAGGCATTTCTGGCACCATAAGCACTACATTATTCTTATTATTTATAAAGCACCAACAAATTCTGATGTGCTGTACAATAGGTGGACAAAACAAGTATTTGCAATTAGACAGTGCTCTCAGCCCTGCTCAAACGAGTTTACATGCTAGGTGAGTGGGATTAAGTGACACAAGAATTAAGAATAAGACGTACTGTATTTTTCTGTGTATAAGACGGCCCCTATTTTTTTAGCCCAACATTAAGAAATAAATATTTTAAACATCAGATAGAACAACTTTAATATTTTAGAGGTGACTTCTGAGGAGAACAGCACACTACTGATTCTCATGACTCCCCTGTGCTACGGTACTCTGTGAAGTTAACGGATCCATAATGTATGCTGGGAGACTACAGCTCCCTTAATACATCAGGTGGTGTGAGGGCATGCTGGGTCATCACAGCAGTATTCCCTCTGCTTTCTAATCACATTTCCTCCCCTTAAATGTAAATCAGAAAGCAATACCTACCTGAGGTGGAGCATACCTTAATATGGCTGCTCCGTTTATGGTGTGGCATGTCTCTGGAGCTCCGTTGGTGGTAAGTGCTGACATCTGACATCCCACGCATATAGGGACCTCTTCCTTCTTGCCACAGCATTCAGAAGTGGATCAGCGGGAGGGAGACCACATATGTGAAACGCGGCAGATACAGTCTTGGCACAAGTATTTTGAAAAAAAATATTTAACCCCTGCAGTGACATTCTGTGTATAAGATGACCCACAATTTTAGATTAAATATTTTAGAAAAAAAAGTCTCAAAGAAAAATATGGTATTTCATTTACAGGAAAAGTAGGTCACTAATAGAGTTCACAAAAATGTTTAGATGACACAGTGGCAGGAGAGAAAGCAAGGTCGGTTACCAAGGTGCAGGGAGGGATGTTTAGATGACACAGTGGCAGGAGAGAAAGCAAGGTCAGTTACCAAGGTGCAGGGAGGGATGTTTAGATGACACAGTGGCAGGAGAGAAAGCAAGGTCGGTTACCAAGGTGCAGGGAGGGAAATCTATTAACAGTTTATTGATATGCCTTCCTAAAAAAGTAGGTTTTCAGTGATTTTTTTTTTCTTTTTGAAAGAGAGTCTAATAGAGAGCAAGGAAGGGAGTTCCATAGGAATGATGCAGCCCTAGAGATGTCTCAAAGGTGAGTGTCAGAGGTGGGAGTACAAATAGAGGATAGACGTATGTCCTTGACAAAGTGTTAGGAGCCTGGATACTTGTGTATCAGTGAGTCTAAGTATGTAGGAGTAGTCTTATGTAGATACGCAAGGACCAGAATTTTAAATTGAACCCTATATCTTATGGGAAGTCAATGTAACGTTTAACAGAGCGGGAGATGCAAGAGGTTAGAAAGATGAGCCTCGCTGCAGCATTCATTATAGGTTGTAGCAAGACAAGCTAGGAATGTATAAGACCAGTGAGAAGCAGATTGTAGTCAATGCATGAGAAGATTACGGCATGGACTAGCACCTTAGGATGCATGCTATGTTTTGGACATGGAAGTGTCAGGATTTGGCGATTGACTGGACAAGAGGGGCGTTGGGGAGTTTGGAATCAGAGAGAACACAGAGGCAGTGCGCCTGTGAGGTAGAGCTGATGGTAGTACTACTGACTGACACGGGAGTAGTAATGTTTGTTGGAGGAAAGATTAAACTTTCTGTTTTATAGAGACTGGAGGTAGTGGTTGTAGTGCTTGGAGAGATCCTTTAAGTGGAGTCCCCAAGGTGACAGTTTGGTTTTCTCTCCCGCAGATCTGCAAGAGATCCCCGAGAAATTTGCTCGGGCAGCAGTCAAAGACTGAGAGCGTTAGCTGACTCTCAACCTATCACTGGCTGCCCTTTACATATAAATTTAATTCTATTTTTCACCTGAGGTAGTAAAGGGGAGCCCAATAATCTATATAGTTACTAGGACCATAGAGCTTGGAGTACATGTTTGAGACAATTCAGATGATTTTTGGGGGGGAGCAGCAGTGAAAGGCTGACAGCGATGGCTGACATTTTTAACCTATCACTGTCTGCCCTTTGCAAATAAATTTACTTCTGTTTTTAACCTTTTAACCGCGATGTACAGCCGGTGACAGCAAATGCGCTGATGCTCTCAGCCACTGGCGTACATATAGGGGTCAAAGTTGCGACCGGGCCCATCACTCCAGGGGGCCCAGCCGCACTGTGGACCCTTGCAACCAGGTACCAGCCACCATGTTGTGCGGCCCCGGCCCACACGGCAAACTGCCGGGGCTGCCGTTCAAGGGGTCCATGCTGTCAGGGCCACCCGAAGGAGATGGATTTTCAGGGAGTAAGTGACTGCCCTGGTCACTCCTCCCAGCAATCACACAGAGCCCGCGCGGGAGAAAGCAGAGGAGGGAGTCAGAGTGGGAACTCTGACTCCCACCAGCCTGAGCCACCACTGGACCCCATCGAAAGTCACCCTCCTGCACCTAAAAGGTAGGAAACAGGAGGGTGACTAAAATATTTAGTATGTATGTATGTGTCTTTGTATGTATGTATGTGTGTGTGTGTGTGTGTCTGTCTGTGTGCATGTATGTGTGTATGTCTGTCTGTATGTATGTGTCTGTGTGTGTATGTATGTGTGATGGATAGAAATTAATGTAAGTAAAATGTCTATCTACTATGTGTACCTGTGCTCATTCATTACTCAAAATGGCCCGCTAGAGCACCCCCTCCCATCGACCAGAACCCTCGTGTAACAAGATGGCGTCTCCATCCGAGGCTACACCTAAAATGATGATGACATCATGCCCTGGAGGAAGTACATCAAGATAAAACACTTACACTTAGCCAATTAAAAGTTTATGCTTAATATTTGCACACAATGCGTTCTTTTTAAGGCCGCCCCCAATAAACTCTTTGAAGTTTTCATTTTTTATCTGAACTTGTTGTCAGTGTGTGATTTCATCAGCGTGCACGCATTATCTCAATTTAAATATTTGGACAGGGGCAGATACTCAAGCAACCACTTGGTTTGGTCTAAAACAATTGGCGCCCAACGTGGGGCTCCGGGTTGTGTCCCGGCGGACAGCCGACCTAGAAGGCGCCGAGGCAGAATTGCTGCAAGGTACAGCCCTAGTGCAGTAAAGCAAACAGCCAGAAGGCTGGCGCAAGCTGCTAAAAGAGAAAAAGGGATTGTTACAGGACAACAAGCTAGTACAAACAGCAGAAGCCTGGTTCAGAGTTGCCAGAGCAATTCACCAGGAGGGGTAGGTGGAGGAAGAAATAGATCTAGGTGGACATAGAATGTATGTATACCATGAAGGTACTTGTAATGCTGAAGGTACATGCCAGCCACCGCCCTATGATGGCGCCTGGCACAGAGGGAAGGAGATTGACCCAGCCCCTGAAACCACTCCCTCACCACCAGCGTTGTCACCCACCACCCCTATTGCTCACACCCAGGGCAGATGGAAGTCTCTATACCCCTGCCCCTGTTCAGCCCTCACTTCCTGTTCCTGATCCCGCCCCTGTTCTGCCCTCACTTCCTGTTCCTGTTATGTCCTCATTTCCTGTTCCTGTTCCCACCCCTGTTATGCCCGCCCTTATGGACAAACCCCTAGTGTCCATAAGAGACCCACCCACTCTCACACCCCAAGGGGGAGTCCAGGTTCTGCCCACCCCTCTCCAACCCTTATGCCCTCCCTCTGTGTATGGCACCAACGGAGTGCTACAGGCCCCTAACTCCTTTGACACCATCAGTTCCCATGGGTATCAGCTCCCCCCTGATGGTGGTAACCTACATGGGGGTGGTCCTCCACAACCTCTGGTTGGGAACCCCAAAGCCCAATTTCTCACGGAATGGGCCCCCTTAATGTACATCACATTCACTCCATCCCAGGCCTCATCCTTGGTGAACATTTTACCAGACCCTGAAAAACAACCAATGCCCTTTTACCGAAGGGTAGCCCAAATCCAAAAGACCTATTCTGCTTCATGGCGTGATTTACTTAGTCTCTGTGAGATAAAAGCAGTAGACACATATTATGGAGAAAAGTCTTTCCAGTGCCCGGCTCCCTAGCGATACCGATTATGCATCGGGCATAGAGTTCTATGAACAGCTCTGAGATTGGGCCACAGATAGATTAGCCGATCAGGCTACCAGCATTCACGATGTTACCCAAGATAAGTCGGAATCTGTAGAGAAATACCACACCAGGCTATCTCAAATCTTTTCTGATCTGGGTTTCAGTATGTACAATAGGACTCATACCCAAATGCTATCTGCAGTCTTTGTAGCAGGCCTTAAAGAGCCCATGCGCAAAGGCCTGATTCTGTCCTGCCCCGAGTATAGGGTGCTTCCCTTGGACACCCTCCTGCTGGTTGCTAAGGGCCTGGAATCCTCCCAATTCCCCAGGAAACCAGCCCCTGCCCCTCTCATGTTCGCCCACCCTGTGTCCCAACCCTCAGGCCTACCCTTCGGTCAGGCCCCCAGACCACAACATTGTTTTAACTGTGGACAACTGGGTCATTTTAAAAGGGACTTTATCACCCCAAGAGTCTTTAAACAGGCTCCCCCATGGAATGGGAAACCGCCCTACCCCGCAGCTGGCCACCCCACTGTCAGCTACCCTGCAGCTGGCCACCCTTCTGCCAGTTACCCCGCTGCCAGCCGCCCCTCCACAGGCCCTGACCAAGCTCACCTGGATCTTTTGCGCTAGGTAACTGGCAAACCTGTGTCACCTTCCCCTGTCAAGGCAGTGTCTTCAGATGCAGATGTCCTCTCCCGCCTGCAGGCCTCAATCACCTTCACCCCAGACGAACTCATTCAATTGTCTTCTCCCCTATC